ATTGAATAAATATATATGTCAATTCTATTTGAATAGCACTAATTAATTACAATCTGTTTCTATTATAATTCCTTTCCATTTACAGACTTTCTGGAAGAGGAGTGGGACAAATGAAATTCTAGTTTGCATACACAAATATATTTTTGTGTCTCTTTCAAGAAAAAGAACCGAGATCAATGGATGATCTATAAACCCCAGCAATTATGATTACCAAAATTAACATACAGTGCCAATTGAAGTACTTTTGTGGTTTAAGAAAAACACAATAATGCTGGAATCATTATAAGAATTGAAACCATGCAGCTATGCAATGTAGCTATGTACTCCAGTGCTGTATTATAAATCAGGACTTAATGTGGGATGAATTAAGTGGATATTGACCTTGCTGTTTCTTTCGACATATTTTAATGGTGTCTAATCGTTAAATCTTAATTGTTGAACATATTATATGCTCTGGGATATATGTTTTCTAAAAAGTCAGTGAGTATAACTGCATGCATGGTTGTTTATGTAAATAAGATACATGTAAAATTACAGATGCATACAAAACAGTGTTTAAAAATTTTTAAACATTCATCATAGCAATTTTTGATTGTTTGATTGTGTTGTTATACAATTGTACAAAATACAATAAATTAAAATGTAACAATTGATCTATTATTGCTAAGTATTTTAAGTTTGATACCAGAAAACGCCCTTGTGACTCATTAATATTTATGTGGTAAAAGGAAAGTAGATAAGCTGTATATATAAGTTTACTGGAAGTCCACTAGCAGTTGGCAAAAACTGATTAAGTAACTGTCTATATATGAATTGCTTAAGTAACTGCCTATGAACTGCTTAAGTAACTGCCTATGAACTGGTAAGAAACTGCCTATGAACTCGTAAGAAACTGGTAAGGCTAAGAAAACTGATTATAAATTGCAAAAGGTTTGAAAGCAGTTTGTTTAGCCATTAGCAGTCTGGGAAAGGTTAAGTAACTGCTCTAGAACTGCTAAAATGTTCAAACTGTTAAGGTTAAGAAACTGCTTAATAACTGCCTTCCACTTTGCCATGGGTGCTGAAGCAGACGTGCTTGGTGTATTGGAAAGGTAAGTGATTTTTAAAGACTTTTAATTCATATTGTTTAAATATCATTTCATCATAGTTACAGGTGCGTATGAAGTTTCTATGTACATGTAATACTCTTATCATTGTGACTTGTCATGCATTTCGTAAACCTAACGATAGTGATCTGTAAGTAATTTTGGAGAAAATGATCTGAATGAATGTAAGCGGTTACATGTTAGGCTAAAGGCATTACTATTTTTTATAATTTGTATACAGGTGAGTAATTTTGGATAAATTTGTTTCTGAATGAACGTAAATATTACATGTTAGGCTATTTTTAAAGACACTAGGCCATATTGGTTTTCCTTTTGTTACGTACGTACTGATATGAAAGTGAAAGTAGAAACCTTGAAACCATTGTGACTGTCAGTTGGTGTTTATGTGTGTTGATATGGCTGTCAAGTCGATTCTTTCATCAACTTAATAACAAGTGTTTGTTTTTTATGGCCTATAGATGCATGCAGTAACTTGAGTTCAGTGTCACAGTGCTGCGTCTAAAAAGCCCAAAGCTGATAAGACTGTGCGATTGATCCTAAAGCTGATTTGACAGATGATTGCATCATCGCAATATTTAAGGTAAATATAAATACTTGCAATAAAAAATCAAAGTTAACATCTGTAATGACTCCTTCATGACAAAATATTTCTTGATAATTTCTTTTTGTTCCTTTATAATTCTACATTATATTGTTTCCACGACTTTATAAAAAATAAGTCCAACTCAGTACTACAATAATTTTATTCTTTATTATAAAACAGTTTTAATCCAGTGCACTTTTAAAATATGGAAAGTATGAATAGAATTTGCTGGCTTTAAAAGCTATGAAACTGGTACATGTACTGTAAATGACTTCAAGGGGAGGGGGGGGGGTAATTGAATTTTTGAATTTCAGTTAAAAATTAATAATAACAGTGACATCCAACTTTCAAGGTACAAGTACATGTGCATATGTGTTGATTGTTGAAAGTACATCAGCTAGCTAATCCATTGAATATTTACATCTATTATATACTTGACATTTATATTTTTTTTCCCAACACTAGAGAACATAGTTTCTGGTAAAATGTAAGATATTAATTAAGACTATTAAGAACCTACAAACATGTACTCTCTCTTTTTTGTAGTTGTAGTTTTGTAGTTTAATTAAGTTTTAGTTATGCTTAGAAGATATCTACTGCAAGAATATTTGTTTTACAGGTTCAATATACAGTCAGCGTCTCATAAGAATAAATCCCAAGATCCAAGACTTGCTTAAAAGCTTAATTAAGGTAATTACACACTGTTAAATAAACTTTGTTATATTCTTCCCAACAACGTTTGGGATATCCTAGCTGGAATCACACTGTCTGTTTTTCTGCCTGTCTACTTCTCTGTAGTATTTTTTGTCCAAAAATAATAAAATATTTGTGTCAGAATCTTCTTAATTTTTGGCAATATGAATTAGTAATACTGTTTAAACATTCCAAATTTAATTTTCAAAATTAAAAAAAAAATGCTTTTTATGACTTTATTATGAAACATATCTTCCAACAGTGTAATTGTCTTGCAAATTACATCATAGGATTCCACAAAACATTTAGTATAACATATATAACATTAGTTTTATCTCGTATAATATCTGTGTTGGTGAATTGGGCATACATTTGTTTGCTGAACTTTAATATTACTTGTAGAATTGATTTTGTAATTTAAGAATTGTTTTATTTTTACTTTTGAAATTTTTGTAGAGACCATTCTGTGCCACAAAGAAATTGTTCAGGAAAGGGAGAAATGGTGGATTTGCATTTTGGGTACAGTTCAAACAGAGTTCAAAAAGGTCAAACTCATGGAAGATCAGAGGGAGGACAACTGAAGAAAACTGAAAGATACAGAAGGAAAAAGAACAAGAAAATATATGAAATAATTATGAAATTGGGAGGATGTACACAATCTTGTCTGCATTTGACCTGTAAAGATTTAATTCCCATTCTTATTTGTATGCTGTAAGATCAAATAACTTGATTTTTCATAAATTTACAATAGAGAATACATGACAAATGTTATATGTGATATTTCAATTTAGCTTTGGTGTCATTTCATGTCAAATCATATTTATAAACAAGTACATGGACTAATTATGTTATTCATTTGTACATGTATGCATGTTTAACTATTTAACCATTTTGTGGAAATCTTATAATTTGTACTCAACTTAGAATATGTAAAATACATGTATCGACAAATGCTACGGACTTGTTTGTATACTTTCCTGTTTTGAAAGTACACTGAAAAATAAGTTATTTCTCTTGATGAAAATAATTTATCAAAAAAGTTGTGTAAGCATTTTAAGATATTTATTTTCAAATATTTAACCCATGAAGATAGATCATTGGAATGTAATGGATTTTCATCTAAAGAAGAAATATCTGATTTTTAAATGTGTACAAGAATGTGTTTTTCCTTCTGATAAATATTGAAAGAGAACACATGTACCTATTTCATATGATTTACATATGCTGCCCTTTTCATATGATTCACATATATGTGGACAGGCATGAAAAAAGTATAAAAATGATAATAAGTACAACAGTAATATTATACACGTATAATTCACATAAAAAGTATAACATATATAAAACACATGTTTAACACATGTTTCATATGTATAGATATACAATGTGTTTATTTTTACACATGTTTAACACACGTGAAACATATGTTTAACATGTGTAAAAATAAACACCCTATACATGTGTGCTCTTTTTATGTGTTTTACATGTGTAAAAAATATATGTTAAACACATGTTTAACATATGTTTAACACATGTGGACATTTTTCCTGTGTAGTGAGTGCACATAGACCTACTGTCCAATCAAAGTAAATTATAGGAAGGTCCTCCTGGCCTTGCGTACATATAGATCCACGTAGACCTACTGTCCAATCAGAGTAAATAATGAAAGGTCGTCCTGGCCTGGCGTACATATAGATCCACGTAGACCTACTGTCCAATCAGAGTAAATAATGAAAGGTCGTCCTGGCCTGGCGTACATATAGATCCACGTAGACCTACTGTCCAATCAGAGTAAATAATGAAAGGTCGTCCTGGCCTGGCGTACATATAGATCCACATAGACCTACTGTCCAATCAAAGTCAATAATGAAAGGTCGTCCTGGCCTGGCGTACATATAGATCCACATAGACCTACTGTCCAATCAAAGTCAATAATGAAATGTCATCCTGGCCTGGCATACATATAGATCCACATTTTAAGGGTGTATAGCTGTATAGATAGTTTTCGATTGACCAAGAGTTATTTCCCGTTGGCCGCCATACTGGAGGTTCAAAAGCTCATATTCCTTCATTGTTCAACCAATTTAAAATTTTTATATTTGCTATTTTGAATTAGAAATCATTATTTTTCTGAAGTATATAAATTTTTGGAACATCCTTTATTTAAAAAAAAATATTTGATAAAGATTTTCCAACAAATATTTCTGCTATATTTTCTTAAACTTGGTAAGACAAAGAGGGAAAATCACTGAGTCGACCTCCAATATGGCGGCCAACGGGAGATAACTTTCGCTAAATTCAGGCCTATCGAAAACTATCTATAGGGGGCCTCACCAAGAACAAAAGTCAAACTTGGAAACTTTGCACTGTATAATTATAATGTATTATCAGGGACCTAATGTACTACCGTAAATCTGGAAATTTTTACTGTAGATAAATTTTTAGCAAATTTGCGCGTTCATTGCATTCGCAAAAATATTTTTCTTAAAAATAAATCAACATGTGAAGAATTTTTTTCTGAGGACTCGTGTCTTTTTTTAACTCATTGAATAGGCGTCGGTAAGCACTGGTCATTTTTAAAAGAAACCTGTTTACACTAGTCTACTATATAAATACAAGTTAATTACCTGTGCGTGTAAATTGCACTCATTATATGCAATATCGTCCGATGATTTGACAAGCATTGAGGCGGTATGCCCCTTTTTAATTATTTTCATCAATTAATTTGCCAATAAAGGGAGAACTGTCATGTTATCTAACCGTGTATCAACACGGGCGATAACTCAAACTCAGTGCATTTACTAGAAAGTTCCAAATGTAAACGCGGCGTGTAAATTTTAAGTGAGAAAAAAAAGAAACGTTGAGAAAATAAGATATATTTTTTCTTCATTTGGATTATACTTTAGGTCAAAAGGCATACACAACAGTAAAAATGTTTGTTATAATTGATTTAAAAATTATTTTCAGTGCAAATCCTTTCGTATTTTTATCAAAATTGTTTCGGAGCGATTTTGCAATATCTTGCCACGTTGTGAATATATTGGTGGTATTCTAACTGGGCATATTATTTGAAACATAACCTGATCTGAAAATCTTCAGTGATTTTTATTTTTAGCACCAGTGACAATTCGCAAAAATTTGAAGCGTAAAAATTAATCAAGAGCTTTTTGACCCGAATTTGCAAAAATAAATCGACGTAAAAATTTCCAGATTTACGGTAGTATATATATATGTGATTTTCCTTGTATAATGCAGACAAACTGTATACAATATGCAGAGATGATTATTTACATACCAACCAGCTGTAATTATTTATAATGTTTACCATTATTATATTGTTAATATAAAATTCTCAAATCTGTGTGGTTAATTGTTTTAAGTTGTCAAACATTCCTCTCGAGAATTTTTCACTCATATGGAGAGTGGCCCGAGACACCAAATATCAGCCATCGGGCCTATGGCCCTTACATACATGTACTAAGTTAAAAAATATATATACAGTACACCTTAAGTTGAGAAGAAAATAAATAAATAATCATGCACAGACTTCTTATACGCTATTGAAGTCGCCCGTGTGGCACAATGGTTAGAGCGTCTGCTGTAGAGGCGTGGAGTAATTAAGGAGTCAATCCTAACGTCGCGTGTTTGAATCCCATTGTGGGATGGGAGTCCGGTCTTTAGATGAGACTGCATGTATTAAGCGAGATCCCATATGTCGCAGTAGGTGCTGGCAAGAAAAAGACCCCTCTCTGCTCAATGGCCCTATAAGTGCCGAGTATAAGACAAAATTTGCAGCTCTCCACCTGCTAATTAAAGCACGGGTTTCTGGAGACGGAATCCGTGCGTGAGCCGTGTCCAAGCTGCCCCGACTGTTTCGTACGGGACTGTTTACAAACAGGTCTCAATCTGTGTAACTTGGCTCTTCTATTAACTGATTAGACCAGAAGATCTTGACTTATTTGTCCATTGTCCCTCCATCTGTCTGTATGTGTGCCGGTTACCCTGTAAACAGTTTTTCAAAATATGAATTATATTGACCATCCCTCAATTATGGCATAACTAAAATTATATACATGCAACTGTGGACTTAATTTGGTCTATAGTAGACCTTCTCAATGAGCTTGACAGTAATTTTAGATTTGTTGAAGCTTAATATTAAAGAAAATATTCAAAATAGTTTTGCCTGGACGTTCTTGTCTGCCACTTTCACAAAGAAGTCATATTAAATCTCATTTGTCTGTCAGTCTGTAAGTCTGACAGTTTATCTGTCAAAACTTCAAACCTGCATGGTCATATCTTTTGAATGAGAAGGGATGGGGCTTTCATGTCTCACATATGAAAATATGTATATTATTTTTGACATTTAGAACTCTATGATTTTTTCTCTCATGACTATAATAATCTTGAGGTTTGACCTACTTTTAAAAAAAGAACCTTCATAATGACATTTCAAATTGAGAAGAGAAGAGGCTTTAATTCATATCAAACCTGTGCGTTGACTGTGACAATTTAAGATCTTTTTTAAATACACCAATTTTTGAATTCATCACCTTGATGTTTGACCTTCTTAAAAAAAAAAAAAAACTTAAAATTGGCCATAACTTTTGAATGAGAAGAGTTGGGGCTTTCATATTAAAACTTTTATTATATGTGACAAGACCTTTCTAAATACACTATGATTTTTTACCTTGATCTTGAAGTTTGACCTACTTTTTAAAATCTTTGATCTTGCCCTTGAACGAGAGGCAACAATAATACCTCATTGAAAGAGTACCAAAAGTCTGTAACAGTTGTTTATTTTTTAATCATTATTAAGCTTTTAACAAGTTAATCTTGGAAGTTAATTGATATTATATAGGAAAAATAACAATGACTGGTAGATATACATGTAAATGCATGACTTATCCAGTATTATCCATCATATTGTTAATATAGTTTAACCTTCCCTTTCTGCATACTGTAGATTAGCACAAATTTTCGTGCCGGCATAAAATTTCATTGATTTGCCATCAGAAATAGTTTCGTTGGGATTTAATTTCGTTGTTTAGAAAATAACCCTATTTAATTTAAAGTCATAAAAAATTTCGTGTGGGATTTAATTTCGTTGATAATCGTTAACAACGAAATAAACGAAATTAAATCCCCAACGAATATTTGTGCTTTTACAGTATATGCATGATTTTGCTCTGCATTGGTTTGTCGGTATGAATGTGTGTAATATAATAAATTATGAACATTTCTTCAGGATAATCAAAAACATGAAAGAAATATTTAAATTATTAGTGAGTAGGAAGTGATAAATGAAATTTGAGACTTTAATACATGAGCCTCGTCGGATAGAAATCGACCTTATGGCAAAATTTATCGAATTTTAGATTTTTGTGTTTTTTAATGGTCCATGTAAAACCATTATAAAAACTGAAAACGAAACCAAAATATCTTCATTTAAAACAAAGTTATTACATTTTGAAATTGGTACGTTTGCAAAATTAACTCTGAGCATATCGTGTTTTTTTCACGATTCAATTGTGACGTCATGGTTTATTCTCCGTTGTTCGGTGGGGCACCTGTCAACACGTAGCAATCCAAGCGGTCATCGTGTCTAAGTTAAAAGAATTGTTTAATAAATGACAAAATAGATGATCATGATGTACAATCCCAAAAACTGTGTCAACTGTATTTTAAATCCTTTAGAAAGCGAATACTCTTACAGAAAATACATGAACTGTGCAGCCAATTAAATCACAACTTAAATCAGGCTCAATAATCATTCTTAAGTTAAATTAAAAAATCACATCCATCTGTATATACATAGTGAGTACGTGCAATCAAACAAGGTGTGATACTAGCCCTGTGTCTAAAAGTAAGCTCATTTTATTAGGACCCCCCCCCCCCCCTTAAAACCGTTTCTACTGCAGTCGCATTTACCTTCAAATAGCTGGTTCATAGATATACACCCTCTTTTCCTCCACATCATTTTCGCTTGGTTGTAATTGGACGGATAGCTCGATAAAAAATTAGCCACTTTGTCTTTACATTAATACCCCCCCTCCCTCCTAGTAAAAACCCGATCGTCTTTTCATCAAATGACTATTTTCAATAATGTAGAAAAATAAATAAGTAAA